CTTTGGCGAATGGGCTGGCATTTTAGAGAGCAGTACAATGTTAGGTTAGCTCTTCCTTATTGTAATAGGGGATGAGAGGAATAGATGAATAAATGTCTTAGTTGGTTGAGGGGCAACGAAGAATCCAGTGTTACACATTTTTTTTTTTTTTTGTTTAATTTGTGTATTTTTAGTATTTTATTTTATTTGCTTTCATCTTTTCTTTTTAGTCCGGGTCCAAAATCGAAAATCTCAAAAATCGAGTTTTCAATAAGCTACTGCTCGAAGAACTTCAATAAGCTAAAAGTTCTACCTTTAACAAGTCTAAGGTCAAAAACCTTTAAGAAGTTATGAGTGAAACACTTTCAATAAACCAACCGTCGAAGACCTCTAATAACGCTACAACCTAAAGATCTTCGATAAGCTAGAATTTGATGCATTTTAGTATATGTATGGTTCAAACTCATGGTTTTAATTTTTTTTTTATTTTTTTTTTATTTTTTTTTTATTTATTTATTATGATGCGAAGCCGTTACTAAAGACCATAGAACTTATATAGAGTAGTTGCATTTTTATTTTGTAGATCTTAAGTTAGTCTAGAGGATCGTTTTAATCTTTTTTTTTATTTTGTTTTATTTTATTTTTGCATGGGACGTTTCTAGTTATTTTTATCTTAAGACTCTTATGAAAACGTATAAGTCTATGACATTGTTTTATGAAATTGTTTTAAATGAATGTTTATGCATAAAGAGGTTACATCATACATATGGCGACTCTGTTTCAGTAGGGAATTAGAGTTGTTAGAGTTGGTATTAGAGTTCTACGTTATAGATTATGCATACTAGCTTAGGAAGTAGGCTTAATATATTTCATGGTTCCACTACTAATGTTTAATCGCCATTAGATATGTCTTACAAAAGATAATAAATAATGTTGTTTTGTTATCTTATGGTTTACCTTGCCTGAAATGTGAATGTTAATTGATTTATTGATGATGTTTAAATTTAGCCAGGTTTGTATTGTGAATGGGGACTATAGTTTAGTAAGATACTAAATGTTAACATATGCGTGAAAATAATTTTGCTAATGAAAGTCAGATGCTTCAATTAGACGTCTCGAACATAGATAAAAAAGTGTGAAGGTTGTGAGCTGATTTAAAGTTCTTTAGCTATGGTAGGATAAGATGTTATGATAATGGCCACAGTTTTATAAGTATTTGTGGAGATGGCCTGTAGTATAATATTTTTCAGATGTCTTAAAGATACGAAGCCATTTGGGTGGAGGATCCACGATTGGTAAAAAAAAAAAAAAAAAAGTCTCTAAATCAAGTAGAAGGTTCACGGTAATCTTCCCTATACCCCTACATGAATACATTACAATAGTTTGGTATAAAAAAATTTCTATAGAAAGTTAACCATGAGTTTTCATAGTCATGCCAAGATGTTTCAAAGGTAATACCGTAGCTAAATTTCAAGATTGTTAAAATAAGGTTTAGAGAATTAGACTTTGAGAAGAATGTAATGGATGAAACTAATTAAACTATTGGTCTAGTTGGTGGAAAAAAGCAAGTCATCTTAAAAGTAAGAAAATTGAAACTAAGGTTAAGTAAAGTATTTAAGGTTTTTCAACGTTAGTGTCCACATGAATAGTGATTTCAATGAAGTATCAGAGCCATGAACATACTAAATAGATTCGGTTGCTCATTAAATACTCAATATGTCATAATAAGGTTATGTATGAAATTTGGTGATCATTAGATTATGAGGGGCTAAACCAAGGGATAAGTGTAAAATGACTAAAATGCCTCTGTAATTATGTACCGTCCAAATACCTGGAGAAATCTAAGATGTTTTCAAGACCCTAAGAAACACAAAATTCTATGTAAATTTATATGAGACTTATTTATAATATCAAGGGTAAGTATGTAAGATGTTTTCAAGACCTTAAAAAACTCAAAATTCTAGGTAAATTTATATGAGATTATAATATTAAGGGTAAGTAGGTAAGATCTTAAAAGGGATTAGAAAAATTTTGGGATATGAACCAAGAGGTAAGGTAAAGTAAGTCATTACCACACCCGACATTTTATAAGAAATCAAGGTAAATAAATGTCAAGTGACAAGATTCTAATGAAAGATTTATGCATGCAAAGATATGAGTTAGGGCTTACCTGTTAAGAATTTTTCCTTAGTTGTGCTAAAAAAAAAAAAATAAATAAAAAAGCTATTAGAACGAGAACCCAAGATATCCTAAAAACTTCCTGATGAGCAGTGCAACATGATCCTATGACACAGAAATGTCGTAGGGAACTCATGAAACTAGATGTCGAAATATTTCTTTACGCTTAATAATTGGACTACTAGATGGTTGATCTTTGCAGTCATGTTGTTTTAATTGATATCAATAAGAAGATGGATATGAGGTTGAATTGGAACTTGAGGAGCAAATTCGGACCGGTACAAATAATAATTAGTAACTCCGGCCTAGGTCAACCAAATAAGTGGCTCTACTATCGATATGGTTGATAGAATTGTCTTATGTATGATGACACGTTCCCAGTAGCCTTACATGTGACATATGTTTGATATGCTTATTATGTACTAGGATATGATACATTTCAATGATATGATATGGCTTGTAATATAATGTGTCCAGATATGCCAAGTAATATTAGAATATGAATGGATGTCATTTTATGCTTTGATTAATTATGATATGCTATGAAATGGCATGAAATTATGTGACATCATTACGTTAGGCCATGATCATATGTATGACATGCGATGAAAGGTTAGAGACAAGGAGGTTTATGATGTACAACCCTATGATAGGAATGAAATGAAATTGAGACAAGGGGTTGTGTTGCATGATTTGTTTACTATGAAAATGTTGATGCATAAATGTATGTTCAAGTGCATAAGGATATTTTCCTTTATGATGAGTACGAATACATACATTATAAATAGGAAAATGATCATCATATTTAATATGATGTTAGGACGGTTGCTATTCCTTTTGAGTGTTCAGCAACAACACGAGAGATGCTAACCTAACTAACAGGAGACCCAAGGGTCCATATTGTTAGAGTATTTTCAGAGATCTAGTTTAAATATTTTTCAGATTTGTTTACCTGTATTTGTTTACAAGATTTGTTTGGAAGATATGTGGTTAGATTCTATTTATGGTTATTTGTAAGGCTATAAAAGCAAAGTTCAGTATTCAATAAATCATCACTTCGAACTTCAATTGCTTGTGTTTCTGGCTTAGTTATGTCAAAACCTAACAATTGTTATGAGAGCTGCAATTTTTTAGTGATCAAATAAAGAGAGTATGAATGAAGACAGTTTTAACAAGGATCCCTCACTTTGATGGTCACTATGATCATTGGAGCGAGCGGATGGAAAATTTGCTCAGAGCAAAAAGGCTATGAGTGTGGTAAAGATTGGTTTCTTAGAACCAAAGGAAGGAACAATGTTGATTGAGGCACAAAAGGGCCACCTTGATGATGCTAGACTCAAAGATCACCAAGTAAAGCATTACCTCTTCCAAGGAATTGATCGAACAAATCTTGGATCGTCTAACAGCCAAGATTGTGTGGACTCAATGAAGCGAAAATTTGGTGGAAACCAAAAAGTGAAGAAATTTCTTAATGCATTAAGGAGAGAATTTGAGATCCTAGAGATGAAGAATAATGAAAGTATCACATATAAGAGGATTGAATGCATCCCTATAGTCCCATATTTAGTAATTCCTGAACTATTTCTTCTGTATTGAGGATCATCGAAATAAGCAAGAATACTATTTCTACGAAAAATACCATTTATGGGTATTTCAATCGAAATACCGGAAGGGGGTGGTAGTTCTTTTTCTCGTTCTTGAAGTGATTCAAATTGAATGATGAATCCATTTCTTCGCCTCTTTGCCAATAAATCAGAATTACCGTGGAAAATAGTAGGATCTGTGAGATTAGATTGACCCGTACATAGGATTGGATTAAGTTCTGAATAATCAGGATGATAATCTCAACAAGATGAGAAGTAATGGAGAAGATATGTTAGACAAGAAAAGTGTAGAAAAAATTTTGCGTACCCTGATGAAAAATGTTGTAGTATCCATTGAGGAATCCAAAGATACTAATAACATTTTCATTGATGAATCACAAAGTTCATTAGTGGTGCATGAACAAAAATTTCGAATATCCAACATTAATGGAGAGGAGCAAGTTCTAAAAGTTGAAGGACGTACGAAAATAAGTAATGGAGGAAGAGGAACTTATAGGGGTAGAGGACGCGGAAGAGGAAAATCAACTTTCAACAAAGCACTCTTGAATGTTATAGATGTCATGAGTTAGGTCATTTTCAATATGAATGTCTGAAGATGAATAAGGAATTGAATTATGCAGAGCTGGAAGAAGAGGATAAAATATTGTTAATGGCTCATATGGAAGACTTGAAGCAGAAAAGAGTGCTACTTGGTTCTTAGAAATATTGTTAATGGCTCATATGGAAAGAGATGAAGCAGAAAAGAGTGATACTTGGTTCTTAGATTCTGGTTACTTAATCCATATGTGTGCAAGTAAACGTATGTTTTCAAGCTTAGACAAGACATTTTCCCACATTATCAACCTTGGAAATAATACAAGTATAAAAGTTATGGGAAAGGGTGCAGTGAAATTAACTTTGCATGGGGTTTGTTGCACTATTAGTAATGTGTATGGGGTACCTGAACTAAAAATAATCTTTTAAGCGTTTGACAACTACAAGAAAAAGGAGCAGCAGTGTTGTTTAAAGATGGTGTATATTGCATTTATCATCCACAAAAAGAAAAATAGCATAGTCAATAATGAGTGCAAATCGGCAGTTTATTTTAGGTACTGAACCATTTACCACAACAATTAAAGAAAGATGCTTCCAAGTTTCAAATACGGATCAGTCAACACTTTGACACCATCGATATGGTCATCTCGGCTACAAAGACTTATGCACCTTGAAGCACAAAAACATGGTGAAAAGCACAAAAACATGGTGAAAGGCCTACGGAAAATTGGAGTTCCAAACACCATCGGTGAGACATGTATGAAAGGCAAGAAACATCAGACTCCATTTCTAAAAATGGGTAAATGGAGAACAAAATTAGACTGCGAGGAAAACATTGAAATTGATAAGAATGCGGTCGAAGGAGGAGGAATCACAGAGGAAACGACTGAACTGGTTGCTGAAACAATTGAACCAGTTGTTGAAAACGAAGAAGGAAAAATCATGGAAGAAATGACTGAATCGGTTGCTGAAACAATTGAACCAGTTGCTGAAAACAGTTGCACCAGATTTGACAATAAGGGAGGGGAGAAGTCGACATCCACCCGTATGGTTAGCAGATTTCGATGAAGGCTATGAGAAAAAGGGAAGTGAGGAGATGGTGTACAAACTCCAAAAGGCTCTCTACGGATTAAAACAAGCACCTAGAACCTGGTTTAGTCGAATAAAATCCTATTTCATCAAGGAAGTATTCAAAAGCAGTTCCAGTGAGCAAACACTCTTCATCAAGAGGAAGTGAGGTAAAATTCTTATTGTAAGCATTTATGTTGATGATCTTTTATTTACTGGAGACAATGAAGAATTATTGGAGGAGTTTAAATGTTCCATGAAGAATGAGTTTGATATGACTGACTTAGGTCATATGAGATTTTTTCTTGGAATTGAGGTAATACGAAGATTAGATGATATTTTTATATGTCAAAGAAAATATGCTGCTGAAGTTTTAAATCGATTTGGCATAGAGAATTACAAATAGTGGGAATTCTAATGTATCTCACAGCTACTCGTCCTGATCTCATGTTTGTTGTAAGTTTGATTAGTCGTTTTATGGCATGTCCGACACAACAACATTTTGCAGCAGCTAAAAGGGTTTTAAGGTACTTGAAAGGTACAGTAGATTATGGTGTATTCTATAGAAAGGGAGGAGTTAAGTGATTTAAATGGATTTACTGATAATGATTATGCCATAGACATGGAAGATAGCAACAGTACTTCAGACTATGTGTTTATGATGAGTGGAGGAGCAGTAGCTTGGTCTTCTCGTATAGTCACCTTATCAACCACAGAAGCTGAGTTTGTTGCTGCTAGTGCCTGTGCATGTCAAGCTGTTTGGATGAAGATGATACTCAAAGAGATTGGTCACTCTCAAATAGAAGGAACAAAGCTAATGTGTGATAATACTTCCTATTAAGCTATCTAAAATTCCAGTTTTACATGGACGTTCCAAACACATAAGAGTAAGATTTCACTTTCCTAGAGATCTTACAAAAGATGGAACTGTTAATTTATTATTTTGTGGTAACCGAAATCAACTTGTTGATTTGTTAACAAAGCCTCTCCAGAGGTTGCTCGAAGAACCTGGTGTGGAGAGTTTTTCTGACTTCAACTAATTATTGACCAATCAGAATAAGTTCAAGGGAATGTTAGAATAATTTGACTAGGTCAAAACAGTTTAAATATTTTTCAGATTTGTTTTGAACATTTGTTTACAAGATGGCTAGATTCTATTTATGGTTATTTGTAATGCTATAAAACCAAGTTCAGTATTCAAAAGATCATCCTTGTAACTTCAATTGCTTATGTTTCTGGCTTAGTTATGTCAAAACCTAACACATTTGCATATGTGGGCTGTGTGTAGAGGAGAATATAATTTTAAATTATAGGTCTCATTCAATGTTGCATGTGTTTGCATCTCAAACTCCAATGGTAAGGTCACTTTGAGTATTTCTTAAAATACTCAAGTCTCGTGCTACTCTTATATTTCAAGTAAAGACAAGGCACCCTTGTACGGTTGATGACAGCGTTATATTAAAGACCAAAACACGTAGGAGCATTGTTTTAATTCTTTTTATTATTTTATTTTATTGGGTAGTTGAATTTTATTTTTGTTAGTTTAGAGCATGGTTTTAATTCTTTGTATTTATTTTATTTTATTTGATTCAAATGTATAAGTCCATAACATCGTTTTATGAAATGGTTAGAATTTTAACCAAATGTGAATTTGAAAATTGACCTATCAAAATAGTCTCGAAACCAACCATAATATTTATTCAAACAATGTAGAGGTTTATGGAAAACTCTTTTCTTTAAACAACATGTACTTTAGATTTAAAATTTGAAAGGAAATTCTGTTTTTGGCAGAGTAGAAATGTGGGATGGAGGGAGATTACGGTTTTGTTTTGTTTTTTACTGGTGGTTTCAAAATTACTTATCATAAGAATTTTAAAAAGTAGACAAAGTTCTTACCTGTTATTGAAATTTTTGTGAGTTTCAAAAGCATTTTTTTAAAATAAATTATAAAATTTATTTTAATGGGTGAAGTTCATATTGTCCTCAAAACGCGTTTGATAAGAAGAGGTTTTCACACGTTCCTCTCTGCAAGCGATTTGAGATCTCACAGTCCACTCTTATCTCATAATCCACCTCCTTTAGGGTTCAGCGTTCTCACGGGCACTTGTTCTCTTTTCCAATCGAGTGGAAGCCCAAAATAAAAAACATAAAAAAGACAATATTTGATAGTGGTGAACTTCATTTATGGAAAGAAGGAATGAAAGGTAGGGATGTACATGATCCCGGTCGGGTTGGGTTGAGAGACTTTTTTGAACCAACCCAAAAGTTCAGGTTGGTTGGATTGGTAACCCAACCCAACCCGAAAATTTCCACAACCCAATCCAATCCTACCATCTATTACCTCTATTTTCGGGTTAGATTCGGGTTGTTCCAAACTGAGAAGAGACCAGAAGTGAAGAAAAAACTTCCTCTAACCGAAGAAGTTCGACAAGAAACACAAAGCAAAGAAGTTTGATGAGAAACACAGAACATAGAAGTCCGACGGAAATAGAACGGAAAGTCAAGTGGAGAGACAGTCGGTACGACGTCGACGAGGTCAAGTGGAGAAATGGGAGTAGAGAAGGGAGTCTAACGGAGAAATAAAGAGGTAATCGAGGAGCTAGATTAACATCTGAGATGAGGACATCAACGGAGAACGATGAACACCATGAGAAAAGAACAATGAGATAGATGAAGAGAGAAAAAGTCTACACCTTTAAGAAGAGAGAGACCATTACAATAATTAATCTAGTGTATCGAACAACAAGAAAGTCTGTACATTGAATATTGCATGTGTGCCACGTGGCAGAGTCAAACAAGATGGGCGAGGTGCGTGGGTTTGGGGCTTTTGTATGATTTTCAAATTGAGTTAGGTTGTCCCAAAAATTTAAAATTTGAACCCTAACCTAACTCGAATCGGGTCGAATTCCAAAAAATACATCACTAATAAAAGGGTGGAAGAAAATATAATGAAAAGGCCATATCTGAGCTACACAGGATGCACAGAGTATTGGGCACAATATTCAAAAGGCTGTAAAATAAACGGTCATCGAACGCTTTTCCCAACTTTAAACCCTTTATTATTATATCGTGAAGATTCCTCTGCCTCATTGCTATGTGTTGTTGGACTTTACCCCTCAAAAAGCTGCATTTTCGTAGCTTCAACTTTTCTCAACTCAAAACCTTCATTTACCCATTAATTAAAGGTTCATTCAAAAATCATAAAATTAATTTTCAGAGTTAAACGTACGTTAGCCAGCGTTTGCGACCATACCAATAATCATGTTAAGTCAATGAAGTAGTACCATACATTCAACTCTGATGCAGTTAAAGTAACACACCATTTAAAAATGAATGTCAAAAAAGAAAGTAGAATAGACATGATATCACATGATGGAACAAGCATGGGGATTGTCGTCACTGAAAAGGGAGGCAATGGCGTGGTCGGAGGAGACAGCGCGGGAGTAAAGTGAAGGCGTCTGGAAGAAAGTGTGGAGGGAAGTGGGCGATGCATGATGATTAGTGGTAGTAGGGTTGGTGGTGGCGCTGTAAGCGTCGTAGTAATGTGTGGCTATGTATGAAGGGTACTTGTAAAATGAGGCGTAGTGCGAAGAGTATCCTGGGAATGGCCATGCCTCTGCTGCTTTTCCTGCTCTCTTTATTGCCTTCACCACTTTTCTCTCTTCCAATCCGTACCCTCTTACTGTTATTTTCTGCATCTCTATTTCCACTTCCACTTCTTCCACTCCTACATTCATCCATTCATACCCATTTTTTAAGGTACTTCTCCCCAACTTTTGTAAAACACGACTAGAAAAGGTTTTCACACATTTATAATGGGTGTTTTGTTTTCCTTTCCAATCGAGTCGCTCGTGTAACGACCCAAATCCATCACTAGGAGATATTGTCCTCTTTGGGTTTTCCCACTCGGACTTCCCTTCAAGACTTTAAAACGAGTCTGCTAGGAGAAGGTTTTCACACCCTTATAAATGGTGATTTGTTCTCCTCCCACTCCCAACTAATGTGGGACATCACAACTCAATTCTCTACACCCTTATTATGAGTGTTTTGTTCTCCGAAATGAGATCTCACAATCTCCAACCAAGATAGGGCTCTTGGTTGGACACTTTCTTTCTTTTTCGCTCCTTGGATAACTATTTTGATATTATTATTTAGAGATTTGAAAACTAAAAATAAATTTGGTAAAATTATGGGTATGAATTCAAATGAACATTTTTAATTGAAACCAACTTAGAAACCGTTATGAAATCAAACGGTGAGATCCCACATCAATTGGAGAGGAGTACGAATTTTTTATAAGGGTGTGGAAACTTCCCTCTGGCAGACGGGCTTTAAAAACCTTGAGAGGTAAGCCGAAAAGAAAAGTTCAAAGAAGACAATATCTGCTAGCAGTGGACTTGGACAGTTACACAAACGCTTCTTAAAATTGAAAAAGAAACAAAAATGATATAATAATGATACCTTTGAGTTTGAAGAGTGCTTTCCTCAATTTTGAAGCGCAACCTTCGCAGTCGAGATTTGGAACTCTAACCTCGATCATCTGAAACACATCGAAATGCATGAGATAATAGAGATATTATGGTGAGTTGTTGTTTGAGAGAGAAAGAGAGAGAGAGAGAGAGAGAGAGACTTACAGACATTGTTGTGGAAGAGTTGTTAATTAGAAGAGTTGGTTGCATGCATAAAGCTAAGGGAAAGAGAAGGAACAGAGTGAGTGTGGGAGAAAGAGGGAGACAATGTGTAGAGTTTATAGATAGTGTGTGTGTGAGCTAACTGTTGTCCTCTCATCATCATTACCAAACATGTTTCCTTTTGGTCTCTTTTTTATGTTTTTTTTTTTCCCTCCCTTTTCATCCATGTGATTTGCTTTCAAAATGCTCTGTAATTGGGTCGGATTACACCATTTTTTTAGATTCTACGCAATAATGAACCTGTTGAATAGAAAATGATTATAAGTTTATAAACGAGTATTTTTATCTTCACTAGTACGAGACCTTTTGGGAAAGCCGAAAAAAAAGCCATAAAAATTTAGGTTCAAAATGGACAATATTATACTATTGTGGAGAGTCATGATTCCTCACCAATCCAACTGCAAAACGAGAAGAGAGGAGCGTTGGATTTTGAAAAGGAATGGTGGGCACGCGTGGGATAGGCGCTGTCCACTAAGGCGGTGCGGTGGAAACATATCCCACGCTTTTCGTGGATATTAGGAATAATTTCCCTCACAAACCCCCACCACATTATAGACACCTAATTAAATTACCATTTTTTTTTTAAAATTTAAATACATATTTTAAATATGTTTACATAAATTGTTGTTCAATTTGGAATAAAATAATATTTTTATTAAAAAATACAAATATGTTTAAAAAATTTAAGTGGATAGAGACGGAAGACTATTTGATATTTGTAACGAACGTTAATGTTGAATTGTAACTTTAAATGTTTGATATTTGAATTTTATAAATTGTAGTTATTAAGATAACATATAATAAGTAGTATTTTTATTAAAAAAACTTAACAATCTAATCCAACCTAACCTGAAAAATAGAAGATTGAGCTGGATTGGATTGTGAACTCTATTTGAGTTATTCGAGATACTAATCGAAAATTTCGAGTGGATTTACACGATTTTTTCATACTCAACTCAGATAATTCTATTAAAAAAAATATTAAAGTTAGGTATTTAAAAGTGGTAAGATTAAAATAAAATAAACTTGGAAGAAAGAATGATATTAAAATTAAAAAGAAAAGGAAAAAAAAAAAAAAGTGTAGTTTAGGGTGTGATAATGATGGGTGCTCCATTAGCCTCCGAGTTTTAGGGTGCAGAATGGGCATTTTTAATCTCACTTATTAATTACCTTTAATCAATTTTAGGAGTGGAGTTTGATTCAGGTGACATATCATATATTTATTATGAATATATATTTATTTATTTATTTAGTTATTGTAAATCTCACCCACGCTCTTCATTAGTCGGGATTAAAATCTAACTCACTTTGTTAATCCACATATTTTTATTTTTATTTGTTAAGAATGATACTTTGATCTCATGTTAAGAATCAGAAACTCTAATACTATAATAAAAATGAGAAATACTAGTGAGATTGAAAGACTGAGAAATATAAATGGGATTGAAAGTCCAATTTTCATTAATATTCACAACGTTTAAATAGAATATAAACTACAAACTAAATCCAAAAAATATTCTACTAATCAAATATGAAGATAAAGATAAAATATATCAAATATATTATTAACGAATTCCTAAACACAACCGAAAAATGTAAGATTATATAAAATATACTCCAATATTATTTATTATTATTATTATTATTATTAACAAGTTTTAATTTTATAATAATAATGAATTAATTTTAAAAAAATTGAATATAATAAAATTCTATTGATAAAAAATTCAAAATTCAAAATTGGTCGAAATTAAAATCAATAGTTCAGACTTAGACAAGTAGGATCAAACGAATATCAACTTGAAAAATTTAGTGACTCCTACTTAGACCAACCAGGTAAGTAATTTTACTGCTAGATGCACATGGGTTCGGTTGGATGACTTGTGTGCTGTATGTATGACGTGTACTCTATGGTCTTATATGTGTTATATTTTTATGATGCTATGATGTTATAATATGATACTTGAACCTCCCTATGTTGTGTTACATATATTTATGTTAGCATGCTCACACTATGTCTATGAGACATTGATAAGACATTTATGTTAATCATGAAAGATACGTCTAGTATACGTATGCATGCCTCATAGGAACATTATGTCATGAAAAGAATGGAGGTACGTTTTGCATCATAAGTATAGGAACATTACTATGCATGGATGTGAATACTACTGATGATTTAGAATATGTTTAGATTTAGTAAGATTTGTATTGGGATTACGAAGATATAATAGTAAGCTATTTAACATGAAAATAATTTTTTTTTTGCTAGGAATAATAGGTGTTTGAACTATATATCTCAAAATATAGAAAAATGTTGTAATGCTCTATGAAGATAGAGATGAAAAAAGATGTACCTACCTATACTAATAAATTGTTTTAAATGAAAAGGATCAATGAGGCTTGATAGACAATAATGTCCTATAGGCTACTCTAAATATTGAGAATGGTTGTAACGCCCCTAATTAGTGAGTCATTGCATGCATGCCTTAAATACATACACCAAAATTCATAATAAATAAACCATTATGAACTACTAAATATAAAATCATGCAACTGTCCTATTTTGATTTTCATGACCTTTCTAGCATTCACCGTCGTTCGTGCATGAGAACTTTGCCTTTACCTGAAAATATAATGGTAGCACGTTGTTTGAGTGTTTTAAGAAATACTTAGTAAAACACCCCACAGTTGGGAATAGTAATGCAATCACACACATAACGTGAAATAACATTGCATCATACGTCAATATAAAAGGCGATTTACAGCGAGGTTTGAATGAAATTATTTTCCAAACTATTACTATATGAATCCAACTACTCATCAATTGCATATAACCAGAAGAACAATTACAAGAAGCAATGGAAAGAAGATTTAAGTATAAATCAAGAAAATCAAATTATTTTTGTCTTTGTAGTTGAACTATCATTTAAGACTATTTATGTCATGTCTTATTTTTTAATTTAATAGCTTTTATTGGTAGGGAGTAGTGGGAGTTGAATTAACATTAAGTTTAGATTATCTTTTTTACCTATTTAAATGCATGTAATATCCAAGTTTGAAATAATTGTTGAATACAAAAACGGTTGATGTTTCTTTTTCAAACCTTGCTTTAGGTTTAAATTAAAATCGATTAATTGGATTAGTCTTAATCAAGCTAATTATGGAGTGAGTCTTCTTTGGATCTAAAAGTGACGATCATAAATTTCAAATTCGATCTAATAGTTATTTATCTTTCTAATTAGCTCTTGGTTGAAATCATATGTCAATACAAAGAGCGATTTCTAGCGAGGTTTAAATTAAAAAAATTTGGTAATGTCAAAGGAAAATTCTATGTAGTACTAAAATTGAAGTGGTAGTACGAAAACAATATTAAAAAAAAAAAAAAGAGTTATTTGGGCTTACAAAATGGAAAATTTTTGTGATGACTAAATCAAAGTAATTATTCCCAACCCAATCATATGACATACATAAGACAACCATCGTATACTCCTACACTTTTATGTTTTAATAGTATAGTGTGATTTGTTTTCTTTGCTTGGAATATCAAGACTATTCTATGCTAGTATGACCGATCTCGAGTAAGTTAGTGACGGACTTTTTAGCTATATACCATAATGTTATGAGGATCTTACCTTAGTTAAGGTTTCATGTTGCTTACTCAAAGTTTGTAATGACCCTAAATTTCTACTTACTCAGAGTCACTACTAACGTCTCATGTTCATAATATGTGGAATATAACTCTGAAAGAAAACATCATAGCATAAATGTTGAAAACATTATAAACAACTTCATCTTTGGAAAACATCGTCATGGTCTTACGTTTTTCATATGAAATACCAAGTATTTAAGATTTTCTAACATTAGTATCAACACGAGATGGTGATTTTAATAAAGAGTCCGAGCCATGAACCGGCTTCAAATTCTCAAGACCATGGAAATGAATTAGTAGAGTTAATGCAGATCGAGCAACAAACACATGAGTTACTAAGTCCACACCTTAACATTTTCTAGCGAGCATATTAGCTATGATTGTTAAGAGGGAAGAATCGGTCCATACAGCGATATATTTGATATCAAGAAGTTATTAAGGTAATGATGAATAACACATATTCTTATAGAACCAAAAGTTCCCTCAAGTATACTAGTCAAGAAGGATGATTTTGCAAAAATTTTCTCCAAGTTTGACATGGTCGTTCGGAGTTTCTCTAATATCTTTTGACTCGCTAATCCTAGACTAGTTTGCAGTAGTGTATGTATCCTAATCCTATTAGGCTAAAAGGAATAACAACATAAATCCTAAGTTAGTTTGACGGTCAGTCTTATATAATGAGGTTTATACCAAATTTTCAGAATACAAGATTTGGATGAACAAAAAGGTTTCCTTTACACACGAAATATTAAAGAATATGGTCTAATGAACTATTTTAAAGAAGAAATAGTTCATAGTTGATCTAAACTGTAGGGAGACATAACGTTACAAGTTTCCTTGATTTAACGAGATGATGTAGAAGTTTGTCGTTTGACTCCGTCGATTCACACAAGTTAACTTGTACTTGCATCAAAGAGAACTTTCAAAAGTTAAAGAATTCAGTAACCACAACCCTAGTCATAAGATAGTTTGTGAGTTATGTGGAGATTAGTAAATTGTAATGATGTTCTAAGTAAATGAATAGTTTGAGTAGTAATATAAAATGAGGAGAGTAGTGTTCTACCCATGTTTTAAGATAATATGAGAAAGAATAATATCTAAAAACATGAGAATATTTGCACCGCTCATAATAAGCTTAGGGAGTAGATCCTGTGGTGGTTTAGTATTTGAGAATGACAAATACTTGATAGATTATGATAAACCAAGCATAATAGATCCGAACACTTGCCCCGGATCAAAACAGTGTTGTTGCAACCTTTAAGTATTCCAAAAATCCAAGTATTCTCACAACTAAAACTAAAAAAAAGTCTAGAGTGACAAATTACTTTATCGTTGATGTTCAAGTACTCTATTCTCGAGCTTTCATTATTCAGATTGCTTCAAATTTTCT